AGCTTACCTCATAGTTATATCCGGACCTATATGTATTTATAACCTTCGGTTAAGTCAATATATCTTTGCTAAGTACAATATAACTCCTATTAAGCCCCCCCGCTCACTATAGTATCTCACGACTTAAATACAACTTCGCCTTGAATCCTAGAGGGATTTCCAGTGATATGCATGTTCTGACAGATAATAAGAGCACGCGCCGTGAATGTCATGAGTGTCGCGAATGACGCACACGCATGTCGTCTGGCGCCAGGCATGCAAGTTAGAGGTCGATGCTGTGTTCCATCATCCACGACTTAATGGAGCTGAACAAGCGTTCGGGAACATACAAAGGGCGTGCACAAACACATGTGTCTTGAATGCTGGGGCCATGCTGCTGATGCTCTTAGGGAAACCTCTGAGTTCAGGAGAATTGCAGACCTATGCGGTTTTATATGATTGATCCGTCTCGGGTAATTAATTGCTTATCTGAGACCCTCAAGCCCTCCTCCTTCCCACGAGTGTTTCACCTCGACTGCATCCTCTTCTCGTAGCGGGTGAGACGCAGCCGCAGCACGCACAGATATCGCTCGATGGTTCTTCGCGCCACCTTTCGACGATGAACCTTCCGTGATATCCGCCCCACTGTTCCCACCCAGCTCTCGGCGGCTAAGAGGTTGTAAGCCCCTGGGTTGACCCGACTCAGCATGGCTTCGTCTAAGGCGTGTTGTAGGAAGTGGTGCTTTGGTAATATACAGAAGCTCGACCGAAGGAACTGTTTCTTGACTGACCGGGCGCTCAACTTGCGCAAATACGCGTAGCTCAACAGATGCAAGCTGCCGTACTTGCGCATATCTGAAGCTTGCGCCTCCGTCAGAACCAAGTCGGCCGTGTCGAAGAGGCGCAACATAGAGCAGTAGCTCCAGACGCACGTGCAGAAAAGTTCATCAAGCTCAGTCGCATCTGCTCGGCGCAGCCGCTCTGCACAAACACCAGCAAGCCAAAATGACACGCGTTTGCCGTTAATGGCTTTGCTCGCAAGACAAGGAAACTGACCACGATGCTTGCGGTTGAGCCTCGATGCAGTGAATCGCGGCTGCGTCGCAGTCAAGTTGTTTGTCTTCAGCCACGCCTTGAAGTGAAGAAAAGCAGGCCGACACAAGGATTGGAAGCCATGTTCATAAATTCCTGTCCTGGGAAATTGTCCGAACTCACCGGCTTCAATCAAGTATGTCAGCACGCTCCCATTGAGCACTTTTGACGTGCCCAGCAGCTGCGAATGGGTGGTGTCGTGTAGGAACCGACAGAGCTGCACGCCCCCATGAACCATAGGAACTGGCAGCTCCTCCAACGGTTTGCTTGCCATGTACTCTGCATTGCTCACCCGTTCTTGCTTGTGCAGCGAGCTGTCGCGAAAGTCAGTAAATGTGCGGCGCACATCTGCATGCTTCTTGCAGGCACTGCACATGCTGCAGAACTCGTCCGCGACGCGCGTGTAGTGATGAATCTTGTATTTGCCCTTATTTGGCTCTCTCTTCGGAACGAAAAGAAAATTACGTGTCTATTGGGAACGAAAACTTACAAAACAAAGGTATGTAACCTTTGGGATATCCTAATAGGATCTAGTAGGATCATATCGTACCCCAAAAACATTAAAGGTCACCTGCTCTACTATAGCCAGAATAGCGCTACGTCAAGAATAACTAGAACATCCAATATTTTATGCGAACTACCTCCAGGAAGGGGTAAAACAGTATTATGTGTGAAATCTAACCCCTTACTAAGGACTTGGGGCGAGGGCACATTGATCCATTTGAGATCACCTCTGCAGCTGAAGAGTTGGAACCTGTAGCCACCAATGTGCCAAGGATGATTGATGCGTGCATCAGCCATGTGGCTAAACTTCTCACAAGCATATCGCATGATATCGTCGTGGGTGTGTTCACACGCTGTATACTCTGCATAAACACAGAGTAGCAAGTTTTGCAACAGTGCTTCACGCTTGTAGCCGAAGTCGCAGCCCCATCCAATAGCCGACACAGCTCCCTGTTCGGAATTCCTGTAGGCATCCACATCGTCTCCATATATGAAGATAGGCAGAAGACCCTCATAACAGTCTTCTGGCAGCGTAGAACCTTGGAACCAGGAAGCATTAGCTTTGGCATTCGTCCAAAACTTGCGAGCTCCAGCTTTGCCAGCAGCACCCATGAAAATGGATTCGAAGATGTCTGCTCCCTCCGTCCAGATGGCCGTCGCCAGTGACACTGGGCAGAGACATGGTAGCTTAGTTTCATAGATCTCCTCAGAAGTCGGGTTGAAGAGTCTGACAGGGACCAAGTCTATGTCAACACCCATCTTCAGGCCGTAGTGCTTGATCACAGTTTGCAGGTCACGCTCGCAGTTTTGAGGATGCTGGCCGCATGCACCGAGTTTGGACATCTTCCAGACTAAATCCTTGCGTGAAATCTGGCCTCCATGACTTTCGCACCAACGCACAGCTCGATCCGCCAGTAATTGTACCTTCATGTTGTGCAGACAGACTTGATCGAGCAGGGCATGTGTAAGGTTCGGGAATTGCGGGATGCGTGGGGTCTCCGTGGAAGGGTTATTATGTATAGGCTTAAGTTTAGCTTGGGAAGTGCAAACCAGGAGCGTTTACAGCACTGCTGGAACCAGCTGCATAGTTTGACACCATGAGCTCTGCAAAGTCCTCTGGGTCCTTAGTGCTTCCGGTACAATCAGAATACGTATCAGGCTTTGCCTAAATACATCTAGATGATGGCTTTATCAAAGTAGAAATTGTAAGCTGAGAAGCAAAGTGGTTCTTGGTCTCGAGAGCAGCTTCATCATCCCAGTCAGCTGCTTGCACGTGTAGCCGTGGCTGGTGTGCCTAGACGCATTTGACCAATATGACTGCACTCACACAGTTTATAGTATTAACTCGAGCACCTAAGGCAACCCTAGGTACACATGCAAACGCGCCGTGCATCATGTTTGTCATGCAGGTGTATATATATACATGCAGGGACAGCATGTGTACGCACACGTGTACACATTTGCAAAATGCAATGCATGCAGCTTTCTCAATCTCCGAACATGTCTGCGGCCCCACCTGCCGATCGTTTCCATGCCCCTCCACTCGAGGATGCTTTGCCGCGGAAGGTGCCGCATCGGTGGGTGGAGGCCGCTTTGCAAAAGCTCTCGCTCGAAGGAGTCCTGCCGTTTCAGGTTTGTGATGGTTCGGCAAATAGAGAAGATGCATGGCCCTATCACTTTTCTTTCCCACGGCATTCTAGTGCGCTCAGAAATCATTCCCCAAGCAAGATCGCAGGGTCGCTGGGTCCCGCGATGGATTGCGTAACCGGCACTGTAAGGCTGCGTGCAGCAACGTCGAGCAATACCAAGTGTGTGTATATATATATATAGAGAGTTACGAAGACAACTTCTCTCAACACAGCTGCTGAGCAACCTTACGCTATGCCTTGCCCCGGCACAGGCGTCATCAGCAGTCTTCCTCATCCTCCTCGGCTTCACCCTCTTGGTCCTGGCAGCAATTACCGGTGTCTTTTGTGGGATTTGCAAATAGAGGGTTTGCCAAAGGGCTGTTTAATTTAAGCGATGGCACTCGTTTTTTTGGGAGTCATCTATAGTTGTGAATATAGAAAAATAACAAATACGTAATAAATAGTCATATAAATATATATGTACCGGGATGTGTATAAATGTATATAAATAGGATAGATAAATACTATAATATGAAAGGCGGCAAAGGGAACTCACCTTCTTCAGCAGCATCTAAGGAGCTTGTGAAGACTCGCAAATCACCAACCGAAAAATACTGTCCCTTATATGCCTCATGCACTTAATTCCCCTCCCCACGGACCAAACCCTCGAACTCCATAACCACCCACTTTGTTGGCGTGTATGTTCATGTATGTAATGCACTTATGCGTGTACGTAAGTGTGTATGTACATATATACACACACATATCCACACACGGACTTATAGCACGTGCAGAAACGAACACATGCGTATGTTGCGTGTATATACCCCTATATATATATACACGACATACATGGAGGGATATCATTAAAGGAACATGTTATAGCTACATATATACGTATATGTATATACATATATGAATATTCAAATCTAAATATACTAACTTTTCGGAACATTTTTGTAGTTTATGTATGTGTACGCATATACACAGTCTATATATATATATATACATTCGTGTAAATGTGCACCACAATGAGACCCCATCATAACCTCCCCGAAAGCCCAACATCTCCCTCGGAAAGCATGCAGACGCAGACACTCTGATAGGATCCCTACAGGGTGACTTTGCTTCCCCAATGTTCCTACACATCCGGAACTCTTTCTCAGAACTGCGAGCTTATAAACACAAAACAATCTGCTGAGTATGTCCTCTATAGGTCAACAGAATATTGTAAACCCACCGAGGAAACGAGTCTCCTTCTTGGCCTTCTTTGCTTTCGGAGCCACACGATTGGCTTCGACCTTATCTTCGCTGAAGAGATCCAGCCTCTGCCTCGCGAGCTCCACGGCCGCAAAGCATTGGCTGTCTGGCACGTCCTGCATTCAGAAGCCCAGGGCTCGTGCACTACCAGACTTGCAGTGGGTTTTTTGCCGCACGTAGGCGAAGACATGCTACAAAACCATGGTTATTGTTCGCGGAATATTATCCGTGAGACAACTATTCAGTGTGTCAATTCTTGGATTTATTGCTGCGGTCCTTTCTGTTGAGGATGCTCTGCAGATTGGCAAAGCTGTTGTTCAGCTCGTCGATGTGTCCGAGCATAGAATCGCCTGAGATGCTCATCGGATGCCGACTATGCTTTTGATGCAGACAGCTCCGCTAAAAGTGCAAACGATGGAGCAAGTCGCGCAAAGATCCCTGGTGCTTGCTCACCGCTTGCAAGCGAACTCCAAGTAGCTTGGCTTCACCGACAGCTTTCACAACCTTTACCATCATCCACTGAACAGCAGCCTGAGGCTCCTCCGGCATGACTTCCCTTAGTTTGCCATTGTGCACTCATACAGGGTACGAAACATGGTTTGCGCATGCATACTAGCTTCCATGAAATGTTCAGACAAACAGCAGTTTCTTCTCCTTCTTCGGCTGCTTGCTCAACTTCGGGAACGCTAGGTCCCCATTGGCGGCAAGTTTGCTTTTGCCTTTGCCCTTTCCCTTTCCTTTTGCGGCTTCATTACTGCTGCCACCAGGCAACATGCCTAGGCAACCAGCAGTAGCACTGCTGGCATCAGGCATCGTGTTCGTGATGGGCTTCTGGTTCGTATTCACCAGCATGTTGTTGAGGTTGGTTGTCCCAAGCATTGCAGAGTGGGCCTGCCGTGGCACAGAAAATATAATTATCTAGAAGTACCCAAACACACTCTGCGTGGGACTTTGCAGGCCTCGCTGCCGACCTCTATCTCGAAGTCTTCATTCACTTCGATCTTATCAGAAGTCTTCTGCTTCTCGGAGTGGATCAGGTTGACGGTGACCTGGGCAGGGAGTTGATTTGTTGGAAGGGCTCTACGAAAAAAACCAAATGTTTTAGGTACTGTACATCTCGATGGTATGTGTGTGGCCTGCTGCACGTGTGCACGTATGAATATAACGTGTTTCTATATAGCTGCTATAGACACACGCACACACGTGACAATGGAGGGCACAGTAGGAGGATTAGCTTGTTCTTGGTTTGTGAACACCGGGATTCCGACGGCAAGCACGCATAGCTAGTTCCATATATACCCAGCGAAAGCAGCAGCTGTGAGACGTGAACCGCAAATCTGTGCTGCATATAGAAGCACACAACACCGATCGATCCCTGTAAACACGTTAAAAAGAAAGCTTCCCCGACATTGATATCTCCTACAATTAGCTGCAGTATTTCCCACATCAACCCATCATTCAGCAAGCCGAGTAGCGTAGTACATCGTTGCACTCGGGTCGTCCGGAGCGTCCGGGTGGGGGCGGAAATGGCCCATGCTCAGCTTACTGGCAATAATATTCTCGACTAAGTCAGAGTCGTCATGCAGTTGCATGAGTTGTTTCTTCGTCCGCCATCCTGTTTGGGAAACTATAAAGCTCACAGCACTTGTGCAATGTCGTCAAGCACCTGGTGGCTCTGAATCCAAGGCACCCATATCGTGGCTTCCCTCTGCGCTGTCCTCGCGGGAACGGACGTGGCGAACGAGCAACCTTGGATTGCAATTTCATGCAAGAAACATACTGAAGCACACGTGCAGGTATCTTGTACATGCATGCCCACGTTAGTGGTCGAGTATCCGACTGTAGTCTTTGCCAGCACTCAGCCACTTTTGGAAAAGCAAGGTTTTTGCAGCCTTGCAGTTGCCCGTAACCGCCTTTGACCACATGCTTGCGATGTCGGCTGGCACGTCTTTCCCACCAAGCTGCATCTGCCTCTATAGAGGGGTTAAGGGGTTTAGAAAAAGCGTTTGGGGTTTATACGTATAGTGGTTTACACAGTTCCTTACTGTCTCTATCTAGCTCGCTCTCTCATTCTCGCTCTCACTCTCGCACAACATCTTACTCGTTCCCCGACTCACTCCAGCACGCCCTCCCTCACTTGATTGACGTTTGTGATCTGTCGCCCTTTGCACATGCATGCTTTGTTTGTTGATCTGTCTGTCTCACTCTTTCGACATCCTGTCTCTCCTGCTTACAACGCCGGCCTCTTGAACTGCCCGTAGAGGCTCTGGCGCTCGAGGTAGGTCTCGGGGATGATGGCCATCTTCGGACAGGCTTTCGGTTCGAATAGTCAACACGAGCATTCACTGTTACCCGCCTCATTACCCGTAGTAACCAGGGCACCCACCACATTGAGCAGTTCTTTGTTCGCAGCGGCGTTGGGGGCTTCCGAGGTATCGGTGGGGCCGGTAGAGGTCGCTGGAGGTGAAGCTGCACCGGTAGCTTTCGCTCCGAGGGAGGGGCTTGGTGTCGCCTTCTTCAGAATGGGCGGCGGTGCATTCGTTTTAGCCTTCTTGTTGGGTCCTTCCATAGTTCCTGCTGCAGCATCAGGGCCGCTCGCCAACTGGGCGAGGCTCAGGGCTGGGCTCTTTGCAGGGGCAGCGGGAGTCTTGCAGGCAACGGGTGGCTCCTTCTTCAAAACCATAGCGGTGCAGGGTGCAGCAGCAGCCGTTCCGCAGGGTGGGGCGGCGGCCGGCAATGCAAGCTGCCTTGGGGGAGTAGTCAAGGCCTCCTGCTTTGTTCTTGCAGGAGGTGGGGGAACAAGCCAACCAGGGCCCGCCACGGTTCCATTGGCAGGGAGGCTCCCGGCCTTTGCAACACCCATGGGTGCTGGGCACTTGGCCTTAGGATGCTGGGCTGCTCCAACCAATTTTCTTTGCAGGTGGTCTTTAGCCCTCTGCAAGATATCGGCTGCTTTCGCAGCAGCTGCACACGAAGACGAAGTGGTGCTGCTGGGGGGCGAGGGGCTGGCGATTTCCCTCTTCACTCCCGGGGTTGCAACAGCATCCGAGCTGTCGATAGTGAGTGAATCTCGCGTGAAGCTGCGGCTGTATGGGGACGGGGTGGAGACCCTGGGCACACATGCACTTGCGCACGAAACATACTTAAGACAGCATACCATTGAAGTCACATACGTCTGCAGTGATTTCTGCGAGCAAGAAGCGACTGCAAGTCAAGCCCATCCGAGGCAGCTTCGGTCGGCGTGATGGTGGAGCTCATGGAGTTCGACTTGGGTGCATCCAGAAACTGACAGCATTACTGACCCCAGACCAAGTATAGCGACTAACCCTATCCACAGCCCACACACCCGAAACTAAGTCGTTTATCTGGACATAGCAACCTTGGGAGAAGGGCTAAGGTTTCCGAAGTTCCCGGCAACCCATACAAGGATAACCTACCATATCAATACCTACCTCTATGCAATGTAAAATCATCGACAAATATCCCCCCAAGCTACCACGCTGAATTTCAAATTGCAGCCCCACCCCTCTTATATATATATATGTATATATATATATATAAGAATCAGAAATTTCACCAATAGACATCATGCCTAGATGTATAGAACAAACAGACCTAAGCCGAGTTTCATTATCTGTGCAAAGCGTGCAGGGCTCTATGTGAAGTCTCTGCAGTGCAAGGCTTCAAGTGTATCTTGAATAATTTCGAAAGCATACATCTACAGATTGCAGGGTCAGAAAAGCGCAGACAGTGTGCATGCACGGTTTTATTATGAAGTTGCAACATCCAAGTGACTCGAGGAAGAGCTTTGTCGTGTGGAATTGAAGATGGCTTTGCCTCTGCTTGCAACAGAAGCCCGTCGAAGCCCGAAGAAACCTAAGCAAATATGTCATGCCTACAATATTGGAAACCAAGGTTATGTTGCGATCGAGCTGCTCCTGGCCATGTATTGAAGTACTGTTCCACCTTCTGCTTGAAGGTCACTCGCGGCTCGATCGGTCCCTGCCGGCAGCATAGTAGATTTGCAGCCAGTTACAGTTCGGAAGAGGGGGAAGGCCAGTGATTCTAGTACAACAGACTATATAACATGATGGATATGTAGCCAATGCTATTCCGGCAAGGTGAAGTTTGAGGTTTTGCAGTAGTAGCAGAACCCTTGCTGAACCGTAGCGACTTCGTGGGGTTATAATTTGTTTATAGGTTGCGCGAGGAAAGAAGATTCCGCTTATAGGTTCGAGCAGCCTCGGGGGGTGTTTCGAAATGTTATGTATGATTACTGTATGATTTGCTGCAGGCTGCTATATACTTGATTTAGGATTTTGGGGATCTGAGGGCCAGTCTTATCTTGACAACGTGTATGATATGTGTTTGCATTAGCATGCAAACCCAGGGTGCCACAGCATGACCTAAGTTGGAAGCAATGAATACACAAATTTACTGCAGCCCTGCATTTGCATGGATGGTGTGAGAACTGCGTTAGCTGCTTCATTATGTCTTATATAAGCAGGATCTTTTACTTGTATATAGCACTCTTACCTTATTATTAATGATGATGTATTGCAAGAATTGTACAACGTCGTTATACTACGATACGGTTACTTCTTGCACGCATCGTGCTTTCAGCATTGGCAGCCTGTCCGTGCTTAGCCGGAAGGATTTCCATGGTTCCTTCCCGCCGAAAGGATTGAAAGGATGAGGTCCCCTAAGTTCCTAAGTGCTTGTGCCACACTGCGTAGCGGCAGGGAACAGGTGCAAAGCTGTCTGTGACTGCACGAATTACACTTAGAGGGGCGGAAGAGAGCGAGAGAGATGCGTGTATGTGTGGGTGTGTGTGTGTGTGTATGTGTGAAAAGAAACCTGCGCTTTTTGTGTGGTCTTACAGAACCAAGAGGAAGCCCGGCTGCATGCAAGAGAGAGAGAAAGAGACAGCCCTGCATGGCGAAAGAAAGAGAGAGAGAGAGAGAGAGAGAGAGAGACAGAGATAGAGAGAGAGAGAGAGAGAGAGAGAGAGAGAGAAGGAGGGGGGGGGGGGGGG